TTTAGCTAATAAAGCAAGAATGTGGTGCTGCTTAAAAGTAAAATACTTCTATTAAAATGGAAAATTATGGAATACTGCATCTTTGGAGATAATTCAAATAGGTTTTAGGCTAGGTATTATGAAAAGCTTTCCAATGAAATATGCTGCCATTGACCCTGAAAAACAAAATTTTGAAGTAAATTGTTTAGGAAATTGTTAAATTGCATACCGGTATGCCCAAATTCCAACCGGCACCTGCTGGATTCTCCTTGGTTATACCACAACGTTTACAAACGATGCCATTTTGTGCAATCGCCCAAACTTCCGTGCCTACAGAGACCGATTTGAAACCGATATGCGTCTCAGTATGTGGAGGAATATTTGGCATATTCGGCAAGAACTGCCAATGTGAACCCTCTGGGAATGTTTTAGTTATTTCTTTGCGCACAGCCAAGCGATTGTGGTTGTCTAAAGCCCAAATACCAGCGTGCCCCACAGATACCGTGCGGAATGTTGTGCCAGGAGGAGTTTCCACCATTTGCCAAGCTTCACCTGTGTTGATTGAAATGATATAACTACTGCTTGGATACATTTATATAAGCACCAGTGAAAGGTATAATTAAATAAATAATTGCACAAGTTTCAGAACTAGTAAGTGCGGAATTCTTCCGTTGCTTATGTGCGGGGAATTTTCCATTTATTATGGAAACAATGAATATAAACGTAACTCACCCAATGGATTGTGTCTAGTAATGCCATAACGAAAATATATCATGCCATTTCGTCCAACAGTCCATACTTGTCCCGTTGGCCCCACGCTAATTGCAATCAACGGCTGTTCACTTGGTATGTGTTCCCAACTATCACCTCGCGCATTTTGTTGCGTAACACCATGCCGTATCAATACATCCCCATTCGATGCCACTGCCCAAGCGCAGACGGGCAAATCCTCCCAATCGCTTAAACTATTAGCGCTATCGGCATCACCACCAAGCACTTGTAACGAGGCATCTAATATTTTCGAGTGACTAAGCTCCTGCCATGGACCGCTACTAGTCAGTCGGCATTTCTTTAGCCAACGTCGTCTGCGCACACAATCGGTGATTTTTTTGTGAGCATGATAGGTTGCTGGAAAGTCGATAGCATACTGCCAGCCTTCTTTATCCGCACCGCCGGGTATATTAAAATCCACCATCCAATCTGTTATCCACTCGCAGTGAGTGGACAACAATTTTGTGTGTTCTTTGCTGCGCTTTTGGCGACCACTTGCGTCGCTCCATATGTGTCGATCGGTGGGCAGGCTTTTGGTGGTGAATCCACTTATGGGATTCCAGCGTTGATTTTCGTACACATAGTAGGTATGCGTATCAACCATGGAATTAATTTTTCCAGAACCACCTTCTAGTCCTTTCAGAAATTGTCCACCCCAACCGCCATTGTATACCCAAGCAGTGTTGTCACACGAAATGCCCCACACCACGCCAGCATGGCAAGAAAATGTACGTTTTATATGGCCACCAATTTGACGCCAATACATCTCTTGCATAGAGAT